ATGGACCTCCAAACATCATGCTTCGTGAGAGGAGACAGACACAAGGGGTCACGTATCCTATGATGCCATTCATATGAAATGTGAATGGAGACAAAGTAGATTGGTGGTCACCTAGGGTTTGGGGAGGGGGAATGAGTGACTGCCGGGGGGTAAGGGTTTCTTTCTGGGATGGTGGAAAGGTTCTGGAATTGTTTTCAGGAACCATCGAGACCATTCCGACTGACAGTGATGTCATGGGACAGACCAGAACTGTCACACAGAGTGTCCTCCACCACTCATCTGTCTGTCATACTGTGGTGCTGGAAGCTATGACCCTGGTATTTCAAACACCAGCAGGGTTACCCAGGGTAGACAAGTGTCAAGATGAGTTTCCAGACTAAGACAGACCAGGAAGAAGGAAGAAGCAGTCAACTTATGAAAAAATTAGCTGCTGAAAAGCTTATGAATAGCAGGGAATCAACGTCTGATGTAGTGTTGAAAGATGAGACCATCTGGTTGGAAGGCACTCAAAACATGACCGGGGAAGAGCTGCCACGCCAAAGTACAGTTGTCATTAATGACGCAGATGGAGTTTCAAGATCTCCATTTGCTGATGGGACACAACTCAAAATGAGAAGAAACAGCTACAAACACCATTAATAATTGGAATGCGGAATGTACAAAGTATGAATCCAGGAAAATTGGAAGTTGTCAAAAATGAACTGGAATGCATAAAGATCAATATTCTAGGCATTAGTGAGCTGAAAGGGACTGCTATTGGCCATTTTGAATCAGAAAGTCATATGGTCTACTATCCCTGGAGTGAAAAACTGAAGACAAATAGTGTGGTAGTCATTATCAAAAAGAACATTTCAAGCTCCACCCTGAAGTACAACTCTGCCAGCGATAGGATAATATTCATATGCCTATAAAGAACTCTGGTGGCCCAGTACCTAAGGCATTTGACTGCTAACTAGAAGGCTGGCGGTTCAAACCAACCAGCCACTCCTTGGAAGGAAGATTGGACGATCTACTTCCATAGTGATACCGCCTTGGAAACCCAAGGAAGGGTTGCTATGAGTCGGATTGGACTCTATGGCAGTGAGTTTGTTTTTTTTTAAATAAGGAAGACTAGTTAATACTACTATTATTCAAATTTATGTACCAACCACTAAAGCCAAAGATGAAGTAATTGAAGATTTTTTTTTTTACGAACTCCTGCAATCTGAAATTGACCAAACATGCCTTCATGAGCTACTGATAATTACTGGTGATTGGAACATGGAAATTGTAAACAAAGAAGATGCACTGGTAGCTGGCAAATACAGCCTTGGTGATGGAAATTATGATGGAAATACATGACAGGATTTTGCAAGACAACAACTTGTTCATTGCAAACACTGTTTATTGGAAGCGAGAATGGCCAAACTTTGTCTCCCCTACTCTGGTCATGTTGTCAGAAGGGACCATTCCTGGAGAAGGAGGTCATGCCTGGTGAAGTGGAGGTCAGTGGAGAAGAAAAAGATCCTCAACAAGATGGACTGACACAACAGCTACAACGACGGGCTCAAGTACAGCAAGGACTGTGACCAGGCAGAGTTTTGCTCTGTTGCATGTAGGGTCGCTATCAGTCAGAGCCAACTTGACAGCACCTAACAACAACAACCTTTTTTAACAACATAAATGGTGACCATGACACGTGGACCTCTCAGATGGAATACACAGGAATCAAATCGACTACACCTGTGGAAAGACATTACAGAGAAGCTCACTATCATCAGTCAGAACAAGGCCAGGGACTGACTATGGAACAGACCATCAACTGCTTCTAGACAAGTTTAAGTTGAAGCTGAGGAAAATGAAAACAGGTCCATGAGAGGCAAAGGACAACTTTGAGTATATTCCACCTAAATGTAGAGACCATCTCAAGAACAGATCTGACGCACTGAACACTAATGACCAAAGACCAGATGAGCTGTGGGATGACACCAAGGACATCATCCATGAAGAAAGCAGAAGGTCATTAAAAAGACAGGAAAGGAAGACAAGGCCAAAAGAATGTCAGAAGAGACTCAGAAACTTGCTCTTGAATGGGGAGGAGCCAAAGCAAATGAAGTCCCCTTGCCCACTTCCTGGTGAGACATAGTCACCCAGCGCTTTCGATGGCCAAGCATGCAGCGCACACTCTCACGTACATGCCAAGGGTGGCCTGCCCGCTGCTCTCTGCCCCTGTGATGATGGGACTCCTGGGGGGTGGTTCTGCAAAGCCCCCGCCTGTGCACAGGCTGCTGCCAGACCCTTCCAGCTTCCAGGTGCTCTTTCTGCCCACCAGCTATGCCCAACTGGAAGAGCCCTAGAAGTTGGGTTGGTCTGCGGACCCCTGGAGTGTCCCCACCCTGGCCCTGTGAAGTATAACAATGCATCTTGACTGGGACTGTGGGTCCAGGGTACACTTTGCTGCAGAAATGATTAAGCAGACCCAAATCAAGATACCAAAGCACAAATACAGACATGGTCAGTGGGCTCTCTGGTCATCTCTCCCCCAGAAGCCTGGTCTCTGGGCCCCTTACAGAGCTGTGCTTGTGGCCAGGCCATAGATCACACCTGGCCTCAAGGCCAACAAAGGGCAGGACTCAGAGGCTCTGCAAAGACCCCAGGTAGGCAGGGAGGGTGTCTGCTGGTCGTCCTGTCACAGCTCAGCTGGTGTATGAGACGGTGGAGGGAATGGGTGGGCACTAACACCAGGGTCCACTGGCAGGGCCCACCTGAGGTACATTCCCAAAAGATGTGGAAGCGAGGAATCATGGAAACGCCTGCACCCGTGTTCACTGTGGTACATTCACAACAGCCAAGGGAGAAACCAACCCAAGTGCCCATCAGTGCGGCATGGATAACCCAACTGCAGTCCACCATGCGGTGGAACACTACACAGCCATGAAGAGAAATGACGTCTAGGGACCAGCTACACACAGATGAACCTGAAAACATGATGCTGAGACACAGTAGCAGAGTCCGAGAGCTGTGTATCGTAGGATCCCATGGCTATGGAATGACCAAAATGGGAACCCACAGAGACAGGGAAGACTGGTGGCTGCCAGGGGCCAGGGTGGAGGAATGGGGAGTGATCACTGAAAGGTGTGGTGGTGTCTCCTTTGGGGGAGATGCAAATGTTCTGAACTAGGCAGGTGGAAGGAGCTCTGGTGGTTAAAGCACTTGGCTGCTAACCAAAAGGTCAGCAATTCTAACCCACCAGCTGCTCTGCAGGAGAAAGAAGAGGCAGTCCACTTCCGTGAATACTGACAGCCTTGGAGACCCTGTGGGCAGTTCCACTCTGTC